GCGAAACCGAAACTGAAACCCAATAAATGATAACTCCCTATTCCCTCCTCCCCTCAGCCCCTGTTTCTATGAACTTGACTACTTTAGATACCTCACATAAATAAAATCATACAGTATTTGTCTTTTGTGACAGATGTCCTTTTTATTTTTTTTAAGTAGACTCCACGCCCTATGGGGGGCTTGAACTCACAATCCTGAGATCAAGAGTCACATGCTCGGGGCACCTGGGTGGCTCAGTCATTATGCGTCTGCCTTCGGCTCAGGTCATGATCCCAGAGTCCCGGGATCGAGCCCCGCATTGGGCTCCCTGCTCCGTGGGGAGCCTGCTTCTCCCTCTCCCACTCCCTCTGCTTGTGTTCCCTCTCTTGCTGTGTCTCTCTCTGTCAAATAAATAAATTTAAAAAAAAAAAAAAAGAGTCACATGCTCTACCAACTGAGCCAGCCAGGTGCCCCAGGCTGTCCTTCATTTTTAAGGCTGAATAATATTCCATTCTGTGTATCTGCTGCAGTTTGTTGTCCATTCATCCATCACTGGACACTTGGGTTGCTTCCCTGTCTTGGTTACTGTGAATCATGCTGCAGTGAACATGGGGGTGCAGATACCTCCTCAAGATCCTGCTTTGAGTTCTTTTGGATAAATACCCAGAAACAGGATCGCTGGATCATGTGGTAGTTCTATTTTTAATTTTTTGAGAAACCTCCATATTGTTTTCCTCTCTCAGGGTTTAACCCAGAGATACAGATATCTTCATCCCTTTGCAGATTCCGAGGTGTACATCAGGGAAACACCAATGTTTTTGGCAGACACTTGAGAAAAAAAGAGGGGAGCCAAATTTAAATCAAATCGAAATTATCAAAATGAAGTTACAGCAAAGAACCTTTTGTTTTGAAAGCAGACTCTTGAAAATTTGTCTTTGTTTTCAATCCGATTTTCACTTCTTTATACTATTTTTGGTCCTTTCTCATTAAACCTCGTTCTCCTTTACTCGGATGAATTGTCAGACATAAGAGTTAGAGATCACTTTTTTCTCTCCTAGTTCTCCATTACATAAATATTTTTATGGCTAAGGTCATGTGCACTTTTAGTCAGAGGTGCTAGCCATAAATTTGTTAAGCCCTCCTGTGCTACGCCTTTGTGCCAAGTTACTCTGATTGTTGTTAAAACACACACACACACATAGGTGAGGGGGATTAAGAGTTAAAAACTTGTAGTTACAAAATAAGTCGAGGTTCCTGGCTGGCTCAGTTGGTTAAGCATCTGCCTTTGGCTCAAGGTCATGATCTTGGGGGCCTGGCTCTCTCTCAAATAAATAAATAAAAATCTTTTTTAAAAAAAGAAGTCACGAGGATGGAAAATACAGCAAGGAAATATAGTCGATAATAGTGTAATAACTTTGTAGGGTGACAGATAGTGATTACATTTATTATTTTTTTTAAAGATTTTTTATTTATTTATTTGAAAGAGAGAGCGATAGGGAGCAGGAACACAAGCAGGGGGAGTGGGAGAGGGAGAAGCAGGCTTCCCGCCGAGCAGGGAGCCCGATGCAGGGCTCGATCCCAGGACCTGGAATTATGACCTGAGCCGAAGGCAGACGCTTAACAACTGAGCCACCCAGGCACCCCTGGTGATTACATTTATGGTGAGCATTTCATCATCTGTAGAGTTGTGCAATCACTGTGTTGTGCACCTGAAACTAGTATTGCATGTCAGCTGTACTTCAGCTAAAACACACACATACACACTCTGAGAGGGTCCCATCTCTTAAACAGTCGCATTGTGGACATTTTTGCTTTGTCCAAACTCAGCCTAAGTGGTGGAGTCGAGCAGACCCAGCACGACCGCTGGCGGCCGTGGAAGTTTTCCTCTATCCCTTTTGCTCCTGGACATCTGAAATAATAGGAAGGTTACAAGGTGCTGTTTGAAGTCCAGATTGCTTGTAGTAGAAACGCTCGGAGGACATGTCCTGGAGTGGAGAGTGCTAAGCTAAAGGGTATGGAATCAAGACTGTGGATTCCACCTACTTCCAGAAATATCCTTCCTTCTCTGGGCAGCTGCTTTGCTTCCTAAGTAGCCCTGAAGACAGTGGTTCTTCTTGCCCTCATCCACACACTTGAACCACCTGGGGCGATCTAAAAAATTCCGATACTCAAACTAGTGACATCAGAGTCTCGGGGAGGGGCGCAGGGAGGAGGGCGACCAGGTATGGGTATTTTTGTAAAACTCCCCAGGGCTGAGAACCGCTGTGACAAAGAGAGAGCAGATTGCTACTGCCTTCTCCCCAGCAGCAGAACTTGTAAGCTTGCCATTTTTATTAAAGAACAACATACAAACTTTTATTTCAAAGTTAAAGTGCCACATAATCTGTGACATTTATTGTCTGAAATTCAAAAGAAAGTTCCCGCAAGGATTATTCTCTCTACAAGCAATAACAAATGGATGAAATGTATGCACTCCAAATCAGTATGTCCCCAAATTAATTACCATTAAAAATCATTTTTCCAGCTGATGAGTATTTGCCCAAACTATGGCTTATGTATTATTTCTCACATTTGTGTGGAACTTTACATTTTTCAAAGAGCACCAGGTCTGTTCTTATTTGGGGTGTCCACTTGTAGGTTCCCACACATTTTGCTTCTTGTGGTTCTCAGGAGTATTGAAAGGGTGTGACTCACTGGATTTTTTTACCCTTTTAATTCTTTTTCACAGTTGGCCTCCTGGTCTCCTACCTTTGATGTTAACTGGCTAAACTGTGGTTCATTTCCTGTTATTTGCAACTTTGAGATTAAACACACAAATGAAGTCAAAGCAAATGAAAGGCCCAGGTCAGCTATCTTGTTAAGGGTCACAGCTGTGGTTCTGGAAGGTCCCAGTCCAACAACTGGCTTGTCCTCCCTCCCTCCATTCCCCAAATGGAGGCCTCTCCTGCAGGGGCAGGGTTATTAAGGTTAGCCAGGAGCTTTCTCAAAAAATGTGTTATCTGAGTGAATGGTTAGTTTTCTTCTATGCTGAATCACATATTTTGTTGCTTGGGAAATGTGTTTGACAGAACTCAAAATGGATGATTTGTCCCAGTTTATTTAGCTTGTAAGGCCTTGTCCTTGGGATGTCCTTTACCCCGGAGATGCCGGGGATAGTAATGTGGTGCAAGTTTGCTTGTTGGTTGGTGGGAGGGGGTGGCGAGGAGGCATTACGGGGAGTACATTTTCTTAGACAGAATTTGGAGTCAGAGGTACTTGTGTTCATTGCAGTTTATAACACAGAACTTCAAAATTCCAAGGTCATAAACTTGAACATCTACCCCACAGGTTGGTTGTGCAGATTAAATGAGATAATACAAGTTATGCACAGTAAATGTTTCTTAAGCAGCCACTTAATGTGATTACGTATTAGAAAAACATTCTGGTTTTAGTATATTTTCTGTCGCAAGAAAAGAATTGAATTGAACAAGTCTTACCTGTCACTCTACTACATGCCAGGCTTGTGCTGTACACAACAGGAGGCAGAAAAAAACAGTAACATGGCCCCTACCAAGACTTTTTGTTTGTTTGTTTGTTTTAAAGATTTTATTTATTTATTTGACAGAGAGAGACACAGTGAGAGAGGGAACACAAGCAGGGGGAGTGGGAGAGGGAGAAGCAGGCTCCCCACCGAGCAAGGAGCCCGATGTGGGACTTAATCCCAGGACCCTGGGATCACGACCTGAGCCGAAGGCAGATGCTTAACCGACCGAGCCACCCAGGCGCCCCCCTACCAAGCCTTTTAGGACCTACCTAGGTGGGGAGAAGAGCCACCCCTGTGTGATATAGTCAATAATATGAGGCAGTCTGTAAGCAGGGGCTGTGGTTCTTTCCCATGGGCTGGGGTAGAGCTTGAGCTGGGAGTTCAAGGACAGAGAATGAGGAGGGATTCTAAGAAGGAGGAACAGCTCAAAAGGCTAGGCCAGTACCTCAGTAATTGGCTCTGATTCCCACAGCCCTCGGTTGCATTTGCAGCAGGTGCTCCCTCAAGGCAAGGAAGATGGCAGCTAACAGCCCTCGGCTACAGCCTCCAGCTTGAGAACTATCTGGAAATAGTGGGAGCTGTGAAGCCGGGTTTATCCAGCCCTGAGCCAATTCCTGGCAGGAGGCTAGGGAGGGGCAGGGTACCATGACTGATAACCTTACTGGGACACCTGGGCCAAGGAGATGGGATGGGGAGTTCTGCAAAGGAGCCAAAGAAGGAAAATGGAGAGTGGGCTGGGCAAAGACTAGCCACCACAGGCCACGATATTTGGAATTCAGATTTTTTGCTTTCAGACAGAAAACCAAAAAATCTGGACTGTTTCATAAACACCAGAAACCAAACAACCCTGTATGTAGTCCCCCTCCACTATCTATTGGATGCCACATTAAAGTCATTGTCATACTGAGCCCTATACAGACATTTGAGAAAACATTCACTACATTGCTCACCTCTCTTCCCTGGCATTCAGCACATTTTCTCTACGATTTCTCCCAAGTCCCCCTTTTCCTTGCTCTTTCAAACCAGCTTGCAAACCATGTGATTCTATTTTTAAATGTTTTCTCTTCCTCCTTGTCTTACTTAGCCTTTAGATTTTCACCATGTCCTCTTTTGGACTCTTTCTAAAACAAAACACTAATAATGAAAAAACTTCCTAAAAGCTTTTAGGATGTTGTATGCAACATATACTGGGGAGGATTGGGTCCCCGGACCCACCCCAGACTTCACTCTAAGAGTCTAGGTGGATGTGTGTAGATTGTGATGATGATGTGTTTTTAACTATTTTACAAAAAGAAAGAAGTTAGGAACAAATCCAGCAGCATCGGGCAGAACAGCTTCAAAAATAGATCTTCCATATGTAAATAGTCACATTAAAAGGTGATTTTTTTCAATCACAATAATCCCTTTCTAAACCTTTAAATGATTCTAAAAACAGACTTGCTATACTATTCCCAAATATACATAAATGTGTTTAAATTTTTTCTTTGTTTATTTTCAGTACTCAAATTGGAAAGGCAAAGATTTATCTGAGTTCTGAAGATACTGTTTCCTTAGCAGGAAATGAAACTGCCAGTGTTTCACAAAGCAGACAAAGTACCTAATTTGATGAAGAAATCATGCTGACGCACCAGAAGAAAATGGTCTTCAGCATAATCAACTGAACATTTGTGTGTGTTTCTAAAATTAAGTTGCCTTTAAAAAAAATCACATTGCTTTATAGACCAAGTCATCTATTGGTGTGATCCACAATTTAAAATGTATTTTAAGAATTTCTGACTTTCATGCTGATTGGATAACACACAAGTCACAACCGTTAGTATTTGGGGATAAGGTGGATGGAGTTGGAAGTTGAAGGAGAAGTCACTGGAGAAGTTTAAGAACAGAGCAGTGTCAGGCCATACGGCCTGCTCTTTATTTTTTGAGAATTTGCATTTTTTGGTGACCTGTTTATATTTTTGCTTTAAACCCAGTTAGAAAGTTGCACAGCTTTACCCGGTGGCAAAAGTTTGTGTAAGTAACTATTTTGTTAGCTGATTATTTAGTTTGCCTTGCAGTCCTCCAAAGCATTTTAAAAATTATAGCTTGTAATTCTTGCAATATATGCTTTATCACTTGGCTTATCTTACAGCCATGACTTTCTCTACAAGAGTAACTGGAAAGCAAAATATTAGAATTTCCAGCCTTCTTTGCAGCTAAAGGTTACCATGTGACCATATCCCAGTAAATGAAGTGTAGGTGGATATACATGAAGAAGCTTTTCTTCAGAATTAAAAAAAGAGGGGGGGCAAGCTAAATGAGGACAGGCTGGGTATTTTACCCTCTGCCTTCTCGCTTTCCCTGTGTGGAAAATGGACACATTGCTTGGAGGTGCTGGAAGTGACGTTTAAGCTAACTGCTGAGAAGAGTAGGAGTTAATTAGGCAAAGGGAAACCGAGATCTTCAAAGAAGGATGGTGCCCTGCCTAGAAATTATATTTAATAAAGAATGATTGAAGGATTAGATATCTGATGCATCTGTCTTGGAATCATCAAAAGCCTGCTCAGTGGATGAGGTGCTATTCTAGGTCCAGTGGGCAGAATTAAGGCCACCATTGGGTGAATGCAAATAACAAAGAGGCAGCTTTCAACTCCAGGCTAGCTGAAGTTTTTCACAAATGGAGCTTTCCAGCAATCCTTTGAGCTACCATGTAGGTAATCTCCCTATCACCAAATGTGTTCAAGTAGATGCCGACTGACCCCCACCCAGGAACAGTAGAGATGGGAGTCCTGCATTAATGCAGTGATTGTACTATTTCAATTTTGTTCAAGCATTTCTGTTCGCATATGCCCTAAAGGAATTTTGAACAACTATGTACCCCTCACATATTCTGTCTTTTAAAATTTTAATTTTTAAATTTTCTCATGCATATTTCAAATTAACATCTTTGTAAAAACATAGGTTAAGTAATTGCAAAGAATGTGATTTCTGATATACTATATATTATGCACCTCCCTTAAATCTATTTTTCAGAATCTTGGCACAGCTCATTTAGCTCATCCAATTGATGGAAGGAGATTCCCTGCTAATCTAATGGCCAAGCCAATCCTCACTGTCAAACTAGACAAATCAAACTAACTTTTAAAGAATTGTGCAACGGGGCGCCTGGGTGGCTCAGTTGGTTAAGCGACTGCCTTCGGCTCAGGTCATGATCCTGGAGTCCCTGGATCGAGTCCCGCATCGGGCTTCCTGCTCGGCAGGGAGTCTGCTTCGTCCTCTGACCCTATCCCCTCTCAGGTGTTCTCTCTCTTTCATTCTCTCTCTCTCAAATAAATAAATAAAATCTTTAAAAAAAAAAAAAGAGTTGTGCAAAATGTTAGCCCTCTTCCTGCTCACCAAACAATGGTGGACCTGTAACTGACATGATTCTTGCCTTTGTGGAGCTTGTGCTCTACTAGAGGAGACAGAGCTTAAAGAATTCCACCAACAGCAAATCACAACTGGGCAGAGTGCAAGTCAGGAGGTGTTAAAGGAATGTGTAATAGGAGGTGGGTGGGTGGGTGTTCTGGGAGGGCTTCCCTGAGGAAGTGACAGTTTAAGCTGAGAGCTGAGGAGGAATAGGAGCTAATTAGGTGGAGGGGAATGGAAATCTTCCAAGAAAATCTCACTTCATTTTTCAATTCAAATAAACACGAAATATTATCTCATTCTAATGCTTAGATGAAGCAGTTTGTCACCTGGATAAAATAAGTTGCAATTCCTATCAATTTTTTTAGGTCTTGAGAGAGAAAATCGTCCTAAGTCTAGTCTGGGATAGAACTTTTATGTCTGATGTAATTTGCAGTCTCTTCTGGGAGGTAATTAACAATCCTGACAAAATCCTTGAGCAATCTCGTGATGGAATGTTATGGTTACCCACTAGCTGACTGCTGATGCTCTTTAACTAGTAGTTTCTGTATTGTACCACTGACATCTCTACCAAGAGAGAACCTTTGAATTAGCTTGCTTAGGGGCCTCTTCCTTTGTGGAGTTTGAAATAAAACCTTCTTCTATACTCCTAAGCAATCTGAGAAGCTGGTGAAGGGGAGCAGAATATGTCACCCAAAAATATGTCTCTTTGGCATAAAGATTATCTTGAGCTGGTTATTTTTTGAGGGACAGCAGACACAGGAGAAGCTCCAAAAACCCGACTAGAAATTACTCTTTCGTAAGAGACATTTACATTTATAAGGGAAATATCCGTTTGTAGGAGCATCTGTTTCTCTCTCTCTCTCTCACTCACTGAAAAGGATGACTATAAATCTCTAGAAACTCTAATCAGTGGAGAAGGCAAGGGCAAACCTGCATAACAACCATGCCTTTGTTTCCTGTGCTTGGCCTGATAGCCTTCCATAACTGCCCTCCCCCAGCATCTTCTTTTGTCTTTAGCTGGAGATGATATTTAAGGTGGTGGTTTGGACCATTTTGGAGAGTTACTCATTTATCTTGGGCTCTCCCATGTATACAGGAGGTATGCATGTTATTAAACTTTTGTTTATTTTTCTCCTGTTAATCTGTCTTTTATTTCAGGGAGTCTCAGCCAAGAACCTAGAAGGGTAGAGGGAAAATTATTTTTCCTCCCCCACACTGGCCTTACTCTCAAGGAATTCTTTCCTTTGGAGCTGTACATTGCTGAATTATTCTTTGGTTTAGTGCCCAGAGGTTTTTATAGTTCAAGATAGCACACCATGCTGGGATTTGGGGTGAGTGAGGGATACACCTTTGTGGGAGAAGGGCAATTATGAAACTGGAGATGGGCAAGGGGTACCAAGACTGACCTCTTCACCTCAGGGTCATTATCAGGCAGATTATTTCCAGGAATTTGAGGTTTGGAAACCAAGTTCCTGAAACTCAGTCCCCTGAAAAGTTCTCATATACCTCAAGTGGCAAATGTTTCTCAATTTGAAGACCTTGAGTTATATGACTCCTCTGTGCTTGAGGCAGGGGCTTATAAAAATGACTATAAAGAGTGACTTACAGAAATCATGTCAAGAAATTATTCTAAGGGCTCTGGGATGGAGGCCTCTTGGGCAGCATCCTACATCTTTTGATGATTTCTGAGTTTCCTCAAAGCCTACTTTTCTCAGTGGCTCTTTGAGGACAGAGTGATTATTATTCAGTGGTTATTGTTGCAGAAAGATCATGTGGTACTTTAGTCTCTGAAATGTAGGACTTGATGAAGTAGACCAGAAGGAAACAGAAACTATTCTGAATTTGTCTCCTAGGGTTTGTGATGCCTAATAGCCAAGGCCCTGAGAGGGAAAGATTCAGGACGATTGCCAAGAGGGTTCTTGGCTTTGCCCGAGAAAGAATTCAAGAGCAAATCATTCAGAGAAAGGGACAAGGATTTATAAAGTATAGAATTATAAAGCATAGAAGTAAGAAAGGAGCTGCTTCAAAGACAAAGAAATGGTCTCTCCTCCCAGATGGGAAAAGGACCCCCCTTTGCCTCTACCGAAGGGTTTTATAAGTTGTTTCTTTCTTTCTTTTTTTTTTAAGTTAGCTAACCATACAGGGAGGGGCTTACTCTTTAATTTTGGGTTTATCACTTACATTGGGTGGTTAGTTCTTCCATTGTCTTAGGGTTGTGGAATTACCCATAGGGAGCAATTCTAAGAATGTCTAGCCTAGGGGCACCTGGTTGGCTCATTCAGTCGAGCATGCGACTCTTGATCTCCAGGTCATGAGTTCAAGCCCCATGTTGGGCATGGAGCCTCCTTTAAAAAAAAAAAAAAAAATGTTCAGCCTATGTGGCTTTTACTGCCAGAGGGAGTAGGGTCTTGTGGTCTTCCATGAGTTGGATCTTGTGACTCTTTTCATGACCTACTGACTTTCAGGTTAAGCATCAGCCTAAAACCAAAATGGCTTTACTTTGGTCAACTTGTCTCCTGAGCCACCCTTCCCTCCTGCCTCATTTGGAGCATATGAAACCTAAGGGTTTGTTTTAAAAGCTAGGTCTCAAATAAATTATCATTTGAACCAAAAGACTAATATTTCATTTGAAGAAAGGCATATTCTTAAATAGTTTTGGTTTTATCTTATCACTCGTAAATGTCACCTTTAAAATTTTCACGTCCTTTTTTGGTCCAAATCTCATGAAGATATCCTTCTTTCCTACAAGTCATTACCAGGAAATAACTAGGTTTTAAAACGTATACTTAGCTTTTTCCCATTGAATTGTAGTTAGAATAATAAACTTCATGAAATTCAAACCTAGGACAATACACCCGGAAAAATACTAACACAATAACCTGGGTTGCAAAACTTGTTTAGCAAGTTTCAGCTGAAGGTTAATTAAAACCTGCTTGGAAACCTCTTAAAACACAGACAAGAATGTAAGCCACACACACCACCACCTAGATTCTTCCCTCAGGATCTTTCTCTTCACCACTTTCCTGGATTTCAGTGGGAACATTTCCCCAGAGTTCCATCCGGTCTGGCACAAGACCATAGTGTTCATGACCATGAGTGTCCGTGGCCCTGGCATAACCCTTTTCCTCCCATCCCAGGGGAGGAGCAATAAGACAGTAGGTAGGTTGCTCTTCTTTAGCAGTTCTAAGGAACAGCATGCGTACGCCACTCCTTACAGAGAAGCATTTTAACTTCTTTGGGAGGTGGGGTAGTGTTGGGTTCTGAGGCTGAGGGGTTGTAAGAATTTCCCCCAGTGTTTCATGTTTTAAGTTGACATGTTTTAAGATGCTGAGGAGTTAAGTGACATTGTTCTGGACAAGACAGGAGAGCACAAAGAGAGGTCAAAGGCAGAATAGGAGAAGGTAGAAATGCTGCCTGACATTTGACTTGCTTGTAAGAGAATATTGAACTGGCTGAATATTCTGGAACATTAGCTGCATATTCTTTCAGAAGTTCCTCGGGGTTACCGCTATTATTTCTTTTGTCCAGGCTTGTTTAGAGTGGTTGTCAGCTAACACCCCGTTGGTGGATAAGCATCTGCGAGATGTGCAGGAAACAAGGCCGGGGTATAATTATAACATAATGCTTTAACAACATTGCACAAGACTGCCTCAGTACTATATGCCAGAGTGCATAGCGACTGTCTTGCTGACAGGCATTTGGATGGTGATTAGTGTTGGATCACATCCTAGAGTCAGGCTTGAAGCCAGAGAAACTGGAAAATGATTTTTGTTTTTCAACTCCTTGGAGGCCTGTGTGGAAAATTTAGGAGAGCACATTTTTGTTTCTAGTAACAGAACTCACATATAATTTGAGGAAGAAAAAGTGAAATGGGATGGTTCCTGAACCACTTGCCTTGTCTTGAAGCGGGTCTTCTGTAGAAAAGTTGAATTTTCTTGCAGGGCTGGCTGAGAAGTTTTTTGTTTGTTTGTTTTGTTTTAAAGATTTATTTATTTATTTATTTGAGAGAGAGAGAATGAGAGCATGAGAGGGAAGAGGGCAGAGGGAGAAGCAGACTCTCTGCCGAGCAGGGAGCCTGATGCGGGCCTCGATCCCGGGACTCCAGGATCATGACCTGAGCCGAAGGCAGTCGCTTAACCAACTGAGCCACCCAGGCGCCCTTATTTTTTAAATTTTTAACATGGGGCTCGAATTCATGATCCTGAGATCAAGAGTCGCACACTCTTTTTTTTTTTTTTTAAAGATTTTATTTATTTATTTGAGAGAGAGAGAATGAGAGACAGAGAGCACGAGAGGGAAGAGGGTCAGAGGGAGAAGCAGACCCCCTACTGAGCAGGGAGCCCGATGCGGGACTCGATCCCGGGACTCCAGGATCATGACCTGAGCCGAAGGCAGTCGCCCAACCAACTGAGCCACCCAGGTGCCCTGGCTGAGAAGTTTTGAGGCAAGGAGCAGTTGATAGGAAGCCCACATTCCCCCGGGTCCTTCACACCTAATCTAGGCACAGGCGAGACCCTTTCCACGTGGCAAAGAAACAGTCTTAGCCCCAAGCACCACCAGTATCCATGACCAAAGGCCACCATGTATGGTTACACTAGATGGTGAGTTATGGTTTGTGAGATGTATCCGGAGCCTGGCGACCAGTTCAAATCTCAATCCCGTTGCCTTTTGGTTGTATAACATTGAGTAAATTGCTTCACCCCCTACACCCTGCCTTCCTCATGCACAGAAGGATGGCTTTGTTTTGAGGATTAAAAGTGCTCTATAATTATGAGGTTTCTTTCTTTTTCCAATTAAATTGTGACTCTCAAAATGGGGGCCTATTACAAGTAAAGAATAACATGAGAGCTGATTCTATCTCTCAGTTTCTCCTCTAAAACTGGGGCTGGTTTATTTCATTTATTTAATGA